ATTAACATCCTCCCAAAAATCCTGTCGGATCGGGGCATGAGGGGCTCCTGGGTGGGAGATTCCACATTTTTGGACCAAGGAATATGGGAGTATGGGACTCGGATTTCACAAATCCGAACTGATTTTTATTTTTTTATTAAACCTTGTCGGAATTTATGTATCCGACCTACCTTTTTTCTTTAAGTTATGTGATGTGTGATGTGCAGTGTTATCAACATGTTATCAGAATTGGTTTTTTAATGGCTTTGAAATTTTGAGTTTTAATGTTAAGTTTTATTTATTTATTTTTCAATAATGTTAAGTTTATTTTTTTCCAATAATGTTATGTTTATTTATTTATTTGAATTTCTGAGTTTTAAAAGTAATGTTGTCATAATTTTTTTAAATGAAAAATATGTAGTTTGATTTTTTGAATAACAAAACATTGGTTAGTTTAGTTTATTTTTTAATCATCCTTATTGTGAATAAAATTCATAAAATGAAATACAAATTTGATTTTAATCATCCTTATTGTGAATTAAATTCATAAAATAAAATGCAAATTTTGTAATTTCAATGAAGTGAACAAAACCAATGTATTTTCAATGTAATTTATTAATAAATATGTACATACAATAATAAATTTAATACTACATATGTGATGCTCTTGGCGAGACACATATTTTATCTGATTATTTTTATCTGATTATTTTTATCAGATTAAATTTATCTGATTATATTTATTTGATAAAATTTTATCTGATTGATATCATCTGATTACATTTTATTTGATTAAATTTATCTGATCAAATTTATTTGATTATAATTTATCTGATTAAATATTATCTATGTCACCGACAACATTAAATATTATTTGATTACATAAATAATGAGAGAATTCAATTTTAGATCATCAACACCACCAATAAAGTAGCAAATTTATTATTTTTTATTGGTGTTATTTATTTATTAAAACATTAGTTGAATAGCAGAGAAACGGACTCCAAATTCTGGTCTGGTATTTATATTTATAAGAGAAAGGGCAAGTTACGTTAAGAATGAAAGAATAACGAAGAAGAATAGTTGCAACCTCTTTAGAGACCCAACCACCTGCCCCTAAAAAGACTCGTATTCACAAAATAGACAGAATCAAATACCACCGGTAGTGGCAATTGCAGAAATCGGAGCAAAGCACCAAAGGAAATGCAAAGTACACTACATCTCGAGTAATTAATAAGAATTTTACCTCCTAATCCATGAGAACCATGTCAAAAGGAGTCCGATAAACCTGAATTAGTTGGAAGTCTGGCGTTGAAGGACTCTGTGAGTTCAAATCGAGAGCCCTAATTTCTAAACGCGGAAGAATGAGCGAGTCAAATTCGGAGGAATGGAAAGCGAAGGTGTATTTACGCAAATGTCCCTAGCGACGAGCGGGAACCAGACTTAAGTGAATATATATATATATATATATATATTATGACAAAATAAGATTTTGTCACTAATTTTGTTTGTAAATAATGACAATATTGTTTTGTCAATGATGATGCTTTTGATGACGATAAACATGCGTCATAGTTTAGTTTTTAACAAAAAAAAATCAAATACGTATAATTGAGCAAAACTTATAGAGGAAAATTTAATACAAATGAAAAACTTTTTGTAGTATAAATATAATACAAATACGTAATTATTTTTTAAAATAATGACAACTTTTTTCGTTAAAGCTCGTTTTTTGTAGTACTCCCTCCGTCCCAATTTGTTTTGCAAAATCAACATTTTTTGGACAACCAATAATAAAAGTCAACCCTCCCTATGGATAATTAATTCAATTTTTAATAATTAAAATTTACATATTCAAAAACTACATTAAAATCTCTTCAAAATTGTAAACTCCAATTTGCAACTCTTTTTGTGACGGAGGTAGTAGTAAATATTTATATAAAAATCTTTTTACTCCAAATATTAGAGTGAGTTTTTTTCGAATTAATGTTAATTAATTAATTAATTACGAAAATAGGGTTGGGTTAAAAGTATTTACCAATATACTGCTGGGTTAACCATGGTCAGGGTAAGTTGCCCAATGGTTGGGCGACTTATAAGTCGCCAAACGGTTTGGCGACTGATAAGTCGTCCATTCCCAACCGTTGGACGACTTTCCCTTAAGTAAAAACATCGACCAGCCAGAACAGAACACTGCGTAAGTTAAACCCAATCCCCAAATCCCCCAAGCCACAGCGACGAAGGACGACCGAGCGATTTGGAACTCCGACGAACCTCCATCTCCAGCGACCCCACTCCGGCAAACCTCGATCCCTTCCTCGCCGACTACTACTTCGGCGCATTCCGGTCCGGTTAGTTCATCTCGGACTGCTACACCAGTAGCTGCTTCGCCAAACAGTCTAGGCTCGATGGACACATCAGCCACGGCTAATGGGGTGGTGGATGATGTTCGAATTGCCGATGTTTCTTCACCCAAAAAAATTCATCCCATGCAAATACACACTGGCACAACTTGGGGACTACACAAGTTGTGCTATACACACTGGCACAACTTGTAGACTATTGAATACCCTACAATTCTACTTCTCGTTTATTAATTTGTGTGTATTTGATTTTCCCACTTGAAATTCACAAACTTCTCAAACATCATTGCCTTTTCTGCACATGTGTTTCACTTCCATGACTTAAAGAAAGATTAAAGGATGAGGAGAATATCAAAATTGTGACACACTGGCACAAGATTAAAAAAGAATCAAAATGGGAACTTAAATTAATATAGACTGTATTTACTCTCAAGTCGCAACTGAAACAGTTCAAATGTAATTATATGCACCCGTAAATGAGCAGAGTAGTTTTCTTCAACAGGAAACAGAGAGAGGTGAGTTAATACTCATTCTTGCATGCCCTACAACTCAGAATGTCTTGATAATTCAAGACCAAAACAATTTGGTGCGGGATGTTGGTGTCCCGTTTTCTTTTTTGCACACATGTTGGGACCGGGGCCGTTCCAGCCTCACAGTTAGAAGGATAAATGACGGGAGGGTGTTTATCCTCCCGAGAAAGCACATAACCTTTATCAAAGGCTTGTTCAATCCCAAGCATCAGACCTACCAGCGCCCGCAGACACGCCGGCGCCCACAGTCCCGGGGACTGCAGAACCGGCGCCCGACTGGGTGGGAATGAGTTTGGTTGCCAGTTTTGCCCTAATCAGTATTAAAAACAACAGCGATGATATCCCCAAGCTCATTCAATTTTTGACTCAAGTGAAAAAGGTGGTCGATTTAGCCTCCAAAATTTGGAAGACTTTCAATGGTATGTTTAGAGGTTATATTTGAAATTTAGTTATAGCGTCTGGTGTATGTCTGGTGTATACATTTGTTAGTGTGGTAAAAAGTCTACATTGAATGTTAAGCCAAGTATACTTTTGGTTGTAACCTGAATTTCTTGTAATAATGTGCTTCATAGACGACCTACTCCTCTTTCTTACCAGCCAGTACTTCATGTAAAGTTGAGATTGGGTGACAAAAAATCATCTTGCGTTGTAGAAAATCAAGTTGCTTTAACACAATTGTGTTGGTGGATACAATATAGGTAACTTACCCCTTCCCTGAAATCAACTAGTTCTTCATCCAAACGAAAAGGTCATTTTAAATCAACAATATATAGTATTTTGATAAAAAAAAATCTACTCTTGTTGCCCAAAGCTCGAATTAACGAGTTTTCTTTATATCTAACATTTACTTTTGACTATAATGAAGGGGACGACTTAGACATTCTCCAATGGTGGAAGATCCACGAAGGGATGTTCCCAAGTTTATCAAAAATGGCCAAAAATATCCATGAAGCACATTATTACAAGAAATTCATGTTACAACCAAAAGTATACTTGGCTTAATATTCAATGTACACTTTTTACCACACTAACAAATGTCTACACCAGATATACACCAGACGCTATAACTAAATTTCAAATTTAACCTCTAAACATATCATTGAAAACCTTCCAAATTTTGGAGGCTAAATCGACTACCTTTTTCACTTTAGTCAAAAATTGAATGAGCTTGGGGATATCATCGCTGTTGTTTTTAGTATTAATTAGGGCAAAACTGGCAACCAAACTCATTCCCACCCAATTGGGTGTCGGGTCTGCAGGCGCCGGTTCTGCAGGCCCCGGGTATGTGAGCGCTGGCGGGTCTGCGGGCGCCAGCGGGTCTGCGGGCGCCAACGGGTCTGTTGCTTGGGATTGAACAAGCCTTTCAAAAAAGGCTATGTGCTTTCTCGGGAGGATAAACACCCTCCCGTCATTCATCCTTTTAACTGTGAGGCTGGTACAGCCCCGGTCCCAACATGTCTGCAATAAAGAAAATGGGACATCAACATCCCACACCAAATTGTTTCGGTCTTGAATTACCAAGACATTCTGAGTTGTAGGACATGCAAGAATGGTTATTAACTCACCTCTCTCTGTTTCCTGTTGCAGAATGTTGAAGAAAACTACTCTGCTCATTTACTGGTGCATATAAAATTTTTCTTAAATTAGAAAATATTTTATCCAAATTAATATTTTATCCAAAATAGCAAGCAGTTGTACATTATCTTTGTATTGCCGGTCAAAGCAAAAATTACATTGAACTGTTTCAGTTGCGACTTGAGAGTAAATACAGTCTATATTAATTTAAGTTTCCCATTTTGATTCTTTTCCAATCTTGTGCCAGTGTGCCACAATGTTGATATTTTCCTCATCCTTTAATCTTTCTTTAGATCATGGAAGTGAAACACATGTGCAGAAAAGGCAATGATGTTTGAGAAGTTTGTGAATTTCAAGTGGGAAAATCAAACACACACAAATTAATAAACGAGAAGTAGAATTGTAGGGTATTCAATAGTCTACAAGTTGTGCCAGTGTGTATAGCACAACTTGGGGACTACACAAGTTGTGCTATACACACTGGCACAACTTGGAGACTACACAAGTTGTGCTATACACACTGGCACAACTTGTAGACTATTGAATACCCTACAATTCCACTTCACGTTTATTAAATTGTGTGTATTTGATTTTCCCACTTGAAATTCACAAACTTCTCAAACATAATTGCCTTTTCTGCACATGTGTTTCATTTCTATGACCTAAAGAAATATTAAAAGATGAGGAGAATATCAAAATTGTGGCACACTGGCACAATTAAAAAAGAATAAAAATGAGAAACTTAAATTAATATAGACTGTATTTACTCGCAACTAAAACAGTTCAAATGTCATTATTGCTTTGACCGGCAATACAAAAATAATGTACAACTGCTTGCTATTTTGGATAAAATATTTTATAATTTAGTAAAAAATTTATATGCACCAGGAAATGAGCAGAGTAGTTTTCTTCAACAGGAAACGGAGAGAGGTGAGTTAATACCCCTTCTTGCATGCCCTACAACTCAAAATGCCTTGGTAATTCAAGACCAAAACAATTTGGTGTGGAATGTTGGTGTCCCGTTTTCTTTATTGCAAACATGTTGGGATCGGGGTCATACCAGCCTCACAGTTAGACGGATGAATGACGGGAGGGTGTTTATCCTCCCGAGAAAGCACATAGCCTTTTTTGAAAGGTTTGTTCAATCCCAAGCAGCAGACCTACCAGCGCCCGCAGACCCGGCGGCACCCACAGACCCGGGGCCTGCAGACCTAGCGCCTGCAGACCCAGCCGCCAAACTGGGTGGGAATGAGTTTGATTGCAAGTTTTGCCCTAATCAGTATTAAAAACAACAATGATATCCCCAAGCTCATTCAATTTTTGACTCAAGTGAAAAGGTGATCGATTTAGCCACCAAAATTTGGAAGGCTTTCAATGGTATGTTTAAAGGTTAAATTTGAAATTTAGTTATAGCGTCTAGTGTATGTCTGGTGTATACATTTGTTAGTGTGGTAAAAAGTGTACATTGAATGTTAAGTCAAATATACTTTTGGTTGTAACCTGAATTTCTTGTAATAATGTGTGCTTCATGATGACCTCCTCCCTCATTCTTACCAGCTAGTACTTCATGTAAAGTTGAGATTGGGTGACAAAAAATCATCTTGCATTGTAGAAAATCAAGTTGTTTTAACAAAATCGTGTTGGTGGATACAATATAGGTAACTTGCCCCTTTCCTGAAATCAACTAGTTCTTCATCCAAACGAAAATGTCATTTTAAATCAACGATATAGTCTTTTGAAAAAAAGTAAATCTACTCTTCTTGCCCAAAGCTCGAATTAACGAGTTTTCTTTATATCTAACATTTAGTTTTGACTATAATGAAGGGGACAACTTTGACATTCTCCAATGGTGGAAGATCCACGAAGGAATGTTCCCAAGTTTATCAAAAATGGCCAAAAATATCCATGAAGCACATTATTACAAGAAATTCATGTTACAACCAAAAGTATATTTGGCTTAATATTCAATGTACACTTTTTACCACACTAACAAATGTATACACCAGACATACACCAGACGCTATAACTAAATTTCAAATTTAACCTCTAAACATACCGTTGAAAGCATTCCAAATTTTGGAGGCTAAATCGACCACCTTTTTCACTTGAGTCAAAAATTGAATGAGCTTGGGGATATCATCGCTGTTGTTTTTAATATTGATTAGGGCAAAAGTGACAACCAAACTCATTTCCACCCAATTGGGTGTCGGGTCTGCAGACATCGGTTCTGCAGGCCCCAGGTCTGTGGGCGCTGGCAGGTCTGCGGGCGCCAGTGGGTCTGCGGCTTGGGATTTAACAAGCCTTTCAAAAAAGGCTATGTGCTTTCTCGGGAGGATAAACACCCTCCCGTCATTCATCCTTCTAACTATGAGGCTAGTACAGCCCCGGTCCCAACATGTTTGAAATAAAGAAAACGGGACACCAACATCCCACACCAAATTGTTTTGGTCTTGAAATATCAAGACATTTTGAATTGTAGGGCATGCAAGAATGGATATTAACTCAGCTCTCTCTGTTTCTGTTGCAGAATGTTGAAGAAAACTACTCTGCTCATTTCCTGGTGCATATAAAATTTTTACTAAATTAGAAAATATTTTATCCAAATTAATATTTTATCCAAATTAATATTTTATCCAAAATAGCAAGCAGTTGTACATTATCTTTGTATTGCCGGTCAAAGCAGTAATGACATTTGAACTGTTTTGGTCATTATGTTTATTAAAACATACATGAAGATGACTACATTTTATTAACCATTTTGGTCATTCCAGAATGAAAAGATCATAGATATACTAAATCATTGATATCAATGGAATAAAGTGAAGGAACTAATGTGGAAGTAATGAAATAAGGTGGCTTGGTATGGGAAGTGAGATGGTGTAATTATAACAGAAATGAATCAGATTCCAAACTCAGTTAGATTATAAAAATCTTTTTACTCCAAATATTAGAGTGAGTTTTTTTCGAATTAATGTTCATTAATTAATTAATTACGAAAATAGGGTTGGGTTAAAAGTATTTACCAATATACTGCTGGGTTAACCATGGTCGGGGTAAGTCGCCCTAGCAATTTGGAACTCCGGCGAACGTCCATCTCCAGTGACCCCACTCCGACAAATCTCGATCCCCTCCTCACCGACTACTACTTCGGCGCATTCCAATCCGGTTAGTTCATCTCGGACTGCTACACCGGTACCTGCTTCGCCGAACAGTCTAGGCTCGATGGACACATCAGCCACGGCTAATGGGGTGGTGGATGATGTTCGAATTGCTGATGTTTCTTCACCCAAAAATATTCATCCCATGCAAATGCACTGGCACAACTTGGGGACTACACAAGTTGTGCTATACACACTGGCACAACTTGTAGACTATTGAATACCCTACAATTCCACTTCTCGTTTATTAATTTGTGTGTATTTGATTTTCCCACTTGAAATTCACAAACTTCTCAAACATCATTGCCTTTTCTGCACATGTGTTTCACTTCCATGACCTAAAGAAAGATTAAAAGATGAGGAGAATATCAAAATTGTGGTACACTGGCACAAGATTGAAAAAGAATCAAAATGGGAAACTTAAATTAATATAGACTGTATTTACTCGCAACTAAAACAGTTCAAATGTCATTATTGCTTTGACCGGCAATACAAAGATAATGTACAACTGCTTGCTATTTTGGATAAAATATTTTCTCATTTAGTAAAAATTTATATGCACCAGGAAATTAGCAGAGTAGTTTTCTTCAACAGGAAACGGAGAGAGGTGAGTTAATACCCATTCTTGCATGCCCTACAACTCAGAAATTTCTTGATAATTCAAGACCAAAACAATTTGATGTGGGATGTTGGTGTCCCGTTTTCTTTATTGCAAACATGTTGAGATCGAGGTCATACCAGCCTCACAGTTAGACGGATGAATGACGGGAGGGTGTTTATCTTCCGGAGAAAGCACATAGCCTTTTTTGAAAGGCTTGTTTAATCCCAAGCAGCAGACCTACCAGCGCCCGCAGACCCGCCGACGCCCACAAACCCGAGGCCTGCAGACCCAGCGCCTGCAGACCCGGTTTTGCGAATGAGTTTGTTGCCAGTTTTGCCCTAATCAGTATTAAAAACAACAACAATGATTTCCCCAAGCTCATTTAATTTTTGAATCAAGTGAAAAGGTGGTCGATTTAGCCTCCAAAATTTGGAAGGCTTTCGATGGTATGTTTACAGGTTAAATTTGAAATTTAGTTATAGCGTCTGGTGTATGTCTGTTGTATACATTTATTTCTGAAGCACATTATTACAAGAAATTCAGGTTACAACCAAAAGTATTTAACCTCTAAACATACCATTGAAAGCATTCCAAATTTTGGAGGCTAAATCGATCACCTTTTTCACTTGAATCAAAAATTAAATGAGCTTGAGGATATCATCGTTGTTGTTTTAATATTGATTAAGGCAAAACTGGCAACCAAACTCATTCCCACCCAATTGGGTGTCGGGTCTGCAGGCATCGGTTCTGCAGGCCCCAGGTCTGTGGGCGCTGGCGGGTCTGCGGCGCCGGTGGGTCTACTGCTTGGGATTGAAAAAGCCTTTCAAAAAAGGCTATGTGCTTTCTCGGGAGGATAAACAATCTCCCGTCATTCATCCTTCTAACTGTGAGGCAAGTACAGCCCCGGTCCCAACATGTTTGCAATAAAGAAATCGGGACACCAACATCCCACACCAAATTGTTTTGGTCTTGAATGTTTACAAGACATTCTGAGTTGTAGGGCATGCAAGAATGAGTATTAACTCACCTCTCTGTTTCCTATTGCAGAATGTTGAAGAAAACTAATCTGCTCATTTCGTGGTGTATATAAGATTTTTACTAAATTAGAAAATATTTTATCCAAATTAATATTTTATCCAAAATAGCAAGCAGTTGTACATTATCTTTGTATTGCCGGTCAAAGCAATAATGACATTTGAACTGTTTCAGTTGCGACTTGAGAGTGAATACAGTATATATTAATTTAAGTTTCCCATTTTGATTCTTTTCCAATCTTGTGCCAGTGTACCACAATTTTGATATTCTCCTCATCCTTTAATCTTTCTTTAGGTCATGGAAGTGAAACACATGTGCAAAAAAGGCAAAAAAGGCAATGATGTTTGAGAAGTTAGTGAATTTCAAGTGAGAAAATCAAATACACACAAATTAATAAACGAGAAGTAAAATTGTAGGGTATTCAATAGTCTACAAGTTGTGCCCGTGTGTATAGCACAACTCGTGTAGTCCCCAAGTTGTGCAGTGTGTATTTGCGTTGAATATCAAGAAGAGAGAAGCTTTTAAACCTTTAGCGAGGGAAGATTAGTAGGGTATATCTGTTCCAGCATCAATTGATTTCAATTTTAGGGTTTTGAATGTTCCAATTTCAACGCAAAGAAATGTAAGTATTAGGGGTTACCGTACGTAGTGTGATTTCTTCTGCGAAGGGATTCTTCTGCGGATGATTTCTCTAGAACGCTCTGCATCAATTGATCCAATTTTAGGGTTTTGAATGTTCCAATTTCAATTAAAAGATTTGTAGAATTTAGGGGTTACCGTAGGTATTGTGATTTCTGCGGCCAAGAGATGCTTCTGTGGATGATTTCTCTAACAGCTGCTCTGCATCAAGTGAATTCAATTTTAGGGTTTTGAATGTTCCAATTTCAACGCAGAGATTTGTAGATATTGTTAGAAAAACCAACAGATATTAGGGGTTACCGTACGTAATGTGACTTCTGAGGCGAAGGGATTCTTTTGCTGTGGTGATTTAGCTGAAGAAGATGATGATTTCTCTAAAAGCGCTTTTTATATCTGAAGAAGGACGCATGCGGTGGTGATTTAGAAGGTTGACGGTCATCATCTCAAGCCGGGGGTCTTGTGACCGGCCCTTTACTGAGCAATTTGAACGGGAAATCGTGGGGGGAGCAGGTTGACGGTATCTGAAAAAAATATGCTTCATTTCTTCCCTTCTCTTCTCCTCCTCCTCCTCCTCTCTACAGCCTCTTTTCTCACTTCAGCTTATTTTGTCTCCTTTGTTCATGTGAGTTGGTTTTCCGAATTCTTCGTTGGTGTATTTATTGCGGATTTGCGGAGAAAAAGTAAGATGCTGTCCATGATGGGTACAAGTGTACTACCTGCAAAAATTATATGGACACGCATATCACTCCCCTTAAATGGACCCTCCTCCATTAAATAATTGGAGTCATATGATCCACCATCACTATCACAATTATATAAGTAAAATGGTAAAGGTAACTAAAGTTGTACCCCATTTTTACCTCATCCCTAATTGTGTGGTCATAAATGTGACAACTCATTTAAGTGGGGTACCACTTAAATGAGTTGTCACATTTATGGCCACACATTAGGAGTGGGGTAAAAATGGGGTACAACTTTAAGGTACCTTTAGCATAGCTCATTATATAATGGAACTCTCTATTAAATAATTGTGTGGTTGTGATTGTGCGGAAGTTGAATGCATCGGTTTATTACCATTATTATTTTACTTTATATTATAACTATGAGTATTGATAAATTTTAATGATTGGTTAAAATTATTATATTATTATTAAAACATTATTATTTTACTTTATATTATAACTATGAGTATTGATAAATTTTAATGATTGGTTAAAACTATTACTTGGTTAAATTTAGGAGCGTTGGGTTGAATATTCTAATATGCTAAATATAGTATTATATTGGGAAATGAATATTATCACGAGAGTGAAATTTCATAAAAAAAATCTTTCTAGTTAGTTCACCCACAAAATTGCTACATCGAAGTGATAAAAAATTTAGGATAACTTGATTTTGCGCTTTTTACTATCTTAATAAAATTATTACAGGAGTGGAATTAATCTTAAGACAGTGTAATCAACTAAGTCGCAGGAACGAAGAGAAGATTATCATTTGTAAATCTTTCACACGCCTAAAAGTAACTAAGTTAATTAGTTAAATCTTTATTATAATGAAGATCAAAATAAAATTACTCTTAGCCCAATCCTAATTTCCTCTATATCATTAATTGTTAAATTATCAAGTATTGTGATTTATATTACTCCCTTGTAATTTTGCAGTTTAAAAAAAATATATTCACATAGCTCCATTGTAAAATGTTATCTACTTGGGATTAGATAAAACCAATCAATAATTCTAGTTCTCTTTGTGAGTCATTCTCTAGCGGAACGATACTCATTTACTCTATACTATATCGCTACAAGTCAATAAAAACTTCATTTTCGTTCACATTTTTACATCATTTCACACTACACATTTTGGCATGTGAGTACCATGGCCCAACTGAACTCTTGTCTACATCATTTCTTCCAAATGGATGTTCCAATATCTTAAGTTATTGTTGATTATGAGCTTCTAAGAACAATTTTGAGCACTCAGAATCACACATGCACTTTTACTCAAACACTCGCATATCTGCTTCTTCTCCCTAAAGGAGTAGAAGCAGTTTGAAGAAGCACCAAACGCTTCTTAAATGCATAAGTTTTAATACAGATACAAAATTATGTAACTATCAAAATAAATAAGACTAAAGTTACTATTTCGCCAATATGATCGTTCAACTAGAATTTCATCATGGCAGCCGTAAGTAAATTAGAATTCCTTTGAGAATATTGTAAATAAGTCGGTTGAATTTGAATGAATTGATGAAATTCTGAACCCCTACAACTACTTGTAGTAGTAGTAGTAGTAGTGAGAGCTAACATATATAATTGATAGACTATAAGTCTAGAGAGAAGTGAGAGCTAGAGAGAGAAGTGGTATATTTGCTTTGTATTAATGAATTCTGAACCCCTACAACTACTCCCAGAGGGAGTATTTATAGGAAGAATTAGGGCTGGGCTCCCAAGTGTTGGGCTTGGGAGGCCCATTTACAATAGGACCACTAATGAGCCGGATACAAAGTACATGGGAAAGATTAAGTACAAGACCCTATTCTGGAGGCCATCCATGGCCGATGAGAGCACGGCCGACGAGGGCGTGGCCGACGAAGACCCGACCGACGAGGTCACCCGACTCTTCCTAGCTTCTGGATCACGTTCCGAGTAGACTTCTTCCTGGCCGATGAGGGTCATCTGGCCGACGAGGGTCCCACCAGATGGTCGTGGTACCTTCTGTTCTTCCGAGTATGTGGGCCCTGGGGTCCAGGCCCATATACTCCATCAGGAGTCCCCCACTCTCTAAGCTGAGATGTAGACGAAGTGAGGGAGAGTAGATTCCCTGCCTTTGATGTCTCATGGCCGTCGTGGGGCCACTATGGGGTTTTCCCTGCTTTGGCCGTTGTGTGGTCTTTGCTGTGGGCGAAGAGGGCCCTAGTAGTGCGCATGATGCATGTTTCCGGTTTCAAGAATGACAAGTGCCTTTTCTTGGTGGAGACGATGAGCGTTCTCTTGCGTGAGTGGCCGATGAAGGCGATGTTTCTCTACTCCTGGCCGTTGATGATTGAACATTGTACCCATGGCCAAGGAGACTATTGTGGTCATTCCCCGTTCGAGGACGATGAGTGCCCTTCTTCCTCCGGGTAGCCGGTGAGGGTGCTGCTTGCTTTATTTGGCCGTTGTGGCTCTCATTTTGTGTCTTTGGCTGAGGAGTGATGGTGTTCGCAGCTTGGTGTCCATGTTTTGAGGACGATGGGTTCCCGTCTTAATTTCTGGCCGAGAGTGGAGTATGCGGGCTCAAAGCCGTTGAGTGCGCTGTGATCTTAGGTGTTGCATCTTTGGAGGGAATTCTTTCTGCTTACTTTGTTGCGGCCGGTTATGGACGCTGTGGTGCATATCTGATGTTGTAGTTGTGGACTTAGTATATTTTTGTATTTGTTTGATTTTGTCCTGATTTTCAAAGGCCGGTGTAGTCCCCCAGTCCCCCACTGTTTCAAGCCGAAGAGTAGGTGAGGGGTGAAGGAGTAAAGGATTTGCCTAGGCCGAAGCGGACTCTTGCGTTCCCCTGAATCCAATTCCTTGGCAATTTCCTGACCAAGGTAACCCTGTGGGAGAACCCTTGGACGCAGGTCTCTTTCAGGAAATTATCATCAGGGTTTTGCACAAGGCCGATGGCGTGGGGTTTCTTTTTGCTTTGCCGTTGTGGCCGTTGAAAAGGCCATGCAGTTGGCATTATGTTCAAGCCGATATGGGCATATCTTGAGATGTGACCTACCCTTTTGAAGTTATCTGTGTTGAGGCCGATGTAGGCGCGCTTACTTAACGTGGCCGTTGAGTGGTTGGCCGTTGCGGGCGTTGCTTGTTGGCATGTTGGCGATGGGCTGATACTGCGGGAGTGGGCCTGACCCGTCTTCTGCACCGGTGCTAGCCCAATGGGCCTTGGGAGTGGTGGCCGTTCCTGTGGCCAACAGGAGGTTGCCACGTGTAGTGACCGTTGGGGGGAGGTCTATAAATACCCCCCTCCCTCCGAAGAGGTTCCTCATTGCATTCCTGAGATAACGAAGTGCTATCAAATTTTCTAGAGAGAGAGAAAGCCTTTCCGTGTGTTCCTCCGGTCTTCAAAACTTCAAAGGTCAGTTCGTTGAACTTTTCTCCAACTCCCTGTATACTTTGCTTCTTTTAGCCTTTGATCCGTTGTTAGTGAAAAAACACCCTAAGATCCAAAGTAAAAACCTCTAGGCTTTAGTTAGCTGTTATGATGAAACCCTTGGACGATGAGTACTACCCATATGATGATGAGCCCTCTATTAAATCCCCTGACTACCGGGTAGTAGAGGAGTGTTGTGAGGAGATAGAGGAGCTGAGCTCCTTCAAATCAGGGGAGCAAGAGGATAGTGAAGGCGAGGACGAAGAGGCCGCCTCGTCATCTGACGGTGAGGATGTAGTGGTTTCCCGTGCTGTGGACGGAGCGTCTACCTCGGCTGCAATTCCTTGCCCGAAGCCGTTTTCTGTTGTGAAGAGCGCTGCCCCGACGAGAAGGCGTCGGCCGAAGAGGGGTCCAGGTTACTCCTACCTGGACCTTACAAACCTTTATTTGATCAAGCCGTAGAGCAGTGCGGCTGATTACCTGGTGGCCCAGATGTATGTGGAGTTGTATGGGAGGGTTAGGGCGCCCAGGCCGACGGATCATGTGTTGAATATACCTCCGGGGTATTTTGGAGTACACCCCATGAGTTTTGCAAAGGGGCTGAGGTTTCCCCTCCACCCATTTATTACGGAGTATCTGGACATGGTGGGTCTCCCTCCGGCCTTGTTGACCCCGAACAGCTACTCGCTCATCATCGGCTTCCTCCTCCGCTGTGATGAGTTAGACTTTAGGCCGACGACAGCTCTCTTCATGAACTTGTACCATATCGGCCGAGGGAGCCACAAGAATTGTGCCGGTTATGCTAATCTCCAACAGTTGCCGAAGAAGAGGTCATTTACTCATCTTCCTACGTCCATTCATGGGTGGAAGGGTAAGTTCGTCTTTGTTTCTTTGGGCGAGGGTGGTACTGAGTTTTCCTCCGTCGGCCATGACGGTAGATTCAACCTTCATGACGTGCCGAAGAGCACCATCTTGGATGCTCAGGTGGCTGCATTTCTGAAAGGAGGGCCGAGGAGCGTAAAAGAGTACATAACAGAGTATAAGTTGACCGCCCTCAGCTTCTTCAGGTACTTCGTTTATGGTGATAAGGAGAGTGACACCGAGCTGTGTCCGAAGATGAACACCACTTTTGAGGAGGCCGATGGCCCGGATTTGGACGTGCCCGCTGACGCTGATTGTAATACCTTCCCTGACGTCTTCGTCTATATCTACTTTTGTTTTTGCTAACTGTCTTTGTTTTTCACGTTGTGCAGACTTCACTATGGATCGCAGATCTGTCATGGCCTTAGCCAAAGCTAAGGCAAAGGAGGAGATGGCCGTCAAAGAGGCCGCAAAGATGGCCGCTGCGAGTGGCACCCAGCCGAGTTCTGACGCAGCGAAGAAGCCACCCACGCAGCCGAAGAAGAAACGGCCCGTGGATGACGGCCAGAGAAAGCTAACCGATGCATGTATGTAGTCCAAGAAGTCGAAGAGGGCTTCCCCTCTGGCCGATGCTGGTGCCGGCGGTCTGGCCATACCGGACGAAGATGTCGGGGGCTCAAATGTCGTTCCCGTTGTTGACGCGATTTCGATCCCCTCGTCGACGGCCTTGTCCCAACCGCCACCTGTCGGCCAGGAGCCCTGGAAACAAAGGGTCAGCAAGGAGCTGGCCGTTGGGACCTACAAACTCGAGGTTGAGTACCCTGTGAAGGGTGGCTTCTTCAACGACGCTATTGACGGCCATGATGTTCTGGCCCAAGCTGTCCCGGTCGAGGGTCGGGCTTATTTGAAGAAACTAGGCCCCGTCAGGATCTATGACGGCGGGATGGACCTCATCGTCCAAGTAAGTTCCTTGTACTTTACATTTTTTGGTGTCACGAGTTTTCGCCTCGTCCTAACTCTTCTTTTTCCTTTTTTGTTACAGGGTGCCCTTATGCTGATGGAGAGCCATAAGCGGAAAGAGCAGGAGATTGCCCGTTTGAAGGAGGCCGAGAAAAAGGCTGCTTCGGTCGAGGAGGCCATGGCCTGCCTAGATCGGCTCCGGGAAGAGGTGAAGGCCCTGCAGAAGGGTGTCGATGAAGCCGATGTGGCCTATCGGCAGGTGGCGGCCGACATGGATGACATTTTGAAGGCCAGGGATGAAGCCCTGAGAAGCCGTGATGAATCCCTGCTCCGGGCCGAGGACGCCGCAAGGGCTCAGGCTGAATCTGAGAGGGCCGTTGAGAAGGCAGTTGATGGCACTATTGAGAGATTCCTGGCCGAGGGCTGGAAGCCTGAAGACCGTCGGCCCTGGTGCTACGAGGTGGTGGCGGATCGTCTGGAAGATTGGGGCCAGAACTGCCCTGCTGGACAAGAATATTTTGCCCGAGAAATGTCTGTTCACTACGACATGGGCCAGCAGAGGATGCAACGGTTGATCTACCGGAGGCTGCACCGGGCTTTCAAAAAGTTGAAACTCACCCAGAAATGGGCTAAGAAAAACCTGAAGCTCCCAAGGCTGATGAAAGACCCGGAGGCCGAAGCGAAGCTCCCCCGTCTGAGAGGCAAGATCCAGTACTCAGTTCCTCCATCGGTGAGCCTGATTGGTCCGATGATGACGCTTTAGCCGAAACCGCTGTCTCCTCAGCACCCGAGGCGAGTGGAGGTGCAAGGCCGGAAGAGGGCAATGAAGTTGCTTCTGGGCGAGCCGATGCGGGGATGGTTGCTGATGAAGTCACCCCGGAGAGCTGATCGACTGACTTCTCGTTATGTAGTTTAGCTAGGCAGGTGTTGTAACGCCTTTTTTTTGTAATGGCCGTTGTGCCCCCTTATGTTATGAATTTTGAATGAATGGAAATAGCTATTGCTTCCGGCCTTATTGTATGATGTCCTCGTCTTGCCTTTTCCTTTTGCTTTTGTTTTCGAGTGTTACAAAATTTTAATAAGTGTTGAAATTGGGACTTGGGTAATTGTCGTCTTTGGTTGTTCCCTGGCTTCGGCCGAAGCGGGTAGCTTGGGTGAGTACGTTTCGTCTATGAGGAACTTTAGGATTTTTTCCTAAGTACCAAGACTTCAAGTGAGTGAGTGTCCGCGTCGTCTTGGCATTACACCCCCCTTTCTTTTGTTCATACTTTGGAAAATTTTCTAAGTGTCAAACTAAGTGTCACACTTGGAGAATTTTCCAAGTGTCAAACTGAGTAGTTCCTTCGTTGGCCAATACGGCCAGTGTGGAATAGCTTCCCACACCGAGGTGTTCTCATCGGTCCTGTGTTCTTTTCGGCCACCGTGTATTCTTCGTCTCGTGTCATTCCTAATGCCTCTTGTTTCACTTGCCATTTTTCCAATTTTCCAAGTGTTTTAAACAAGAACTCATAAGCATGATTCCTGTAGTTGTAGCCGATGGGGGGACCTGTCCTTTGCTCGGCTGAGGGGGGAATGTCTGCTTCGTCTTTGTGATGCTTGACGTCACACTTTTGTGGACTTCTCTAAGTGTCTCGCTTAGACAATTTTGAAAATCGTTCTAAGTGTTTGGGTAGACCGGACCCTTGTCCTCGTCGGCCGCTCTGGATGTTATTCAGGAATGTCTTCAAATACTTAGAAATTTTTCCAATTTCTTGGTCGTGTTTGAACATACTTGGGTGACTGCTTCCTTTTTTAGTGGCTGATGATGGCTTACCGCTGGGGTTGTCTGACGCCGGCTATATGTATGCCCTTAGCGGCCACAGGAGTTTGCCTTAGTATTTTTTAGTCCAAGTTTTTCCCTTCTTTTTTTTGAGCGCTTTCGTCTGTAATGCGTAATATTTGACTGATATGTACTTAGACAATTTTGGGGATTTTATTTTTATCGCGCGAGGCCGGCGAGTGCACGGCTCATCGGCTTCCCTCTTTTATTTCTTGGGGATATCGCTTTAGGTCGGCAAGTGCACGGTCCTTCGGCTGTCCCTCTTTTATTTTTGGGGATATCGCTTTAGGCCGGCAAGTGCGCGGTCCTTCGGCTATCCGTCTTTTATTTTTGGGCATATCGCTTTAGGCCGGCAAGTGCGTGGTTCTTCGGTTGTCCCTCTTTTATTTTCTTCCTCTTTACTCATTTGAGCGATGAGTGGGTGTCCTTCTTTCAGGCTTCGGCCAAGGGGGTCGATAGTCCCTCGTCCGGTAAGGAGTCCTACTGGATCGTCCTGGGATCTCAAGGAGGTCTCGTCGCATGTTTATGACGCGGGCTAAGGATTTTGGTCAGTTACCGACGGCTGCCGTTTCTCATCCTTGAGTTTGGGGATTTTTGTCACCTCGGCCATGATTTCAGACCTGTCGTCCTGATGGTTTCACGGATAGACGACACGGTGAGCTTCCCATTTCAAGACGTGGGCTCTTTGCGGGCCCTTCGTCCTGGGGACACCGTTGGCCTTTCCTAAGCATTTTCGCTTTGAGGGGCCGGAACGATGTGCTGTGTTGACCTTTCCTGGGCATCTTCGCCCTGAGGGTTCAGTTTAGTATGGTACGTTTCTGATCTTTAGAGAAGTAAGAAACAACTTTTATTGATAAGTGGCTCAAGGCCGAGGGTGGCGTTCGACCAACAATCCATGGGAAGGTGAGGGCTTTGCCGGCTGCACCGTCTCCGGATTATTGATAGAGTCTCACGAAGTGATGTACATTCCACGTTCGTGGTACATTAGACCCATTTGGGTGTTTCAATTTGTAGGTGTCGGGCTTGACCATGGCACTGATGATGTAGGGGCCATCGTACTTGAGTGCCAATTTGCCACCCTTTGTCAGCTTGCTCGCCTCTCTTCGGCGAAGGACATAGTCCCCCACCTGAAATTCCCGGGAACGTACCCTGGCGTCGTAGTATGATTTTACTTGACGCCGGTAGTTCTCTGCCTGGATGAAGGCCTGCTCTCGTCTTTCTTCGATCAGGTGGAGGTCGATCTTCATGTTTTCTTCATTAGTCTCAGGCTCATAGTGCTCCACCCGTCGGCTAGGTATGGTGACCTTTGTGGGGGCCTTTGCTTCAAAGTCATAGCAAAGGGCAAAGGGTGTCTCGCCCGTTGCCCTCCTTGGCGTAGTACGGTAGCACCATAAGATGTTGGGGAGCTCATCGGCCCAACTGCCCCTGCGTCCTGGAGCTTCTTCTTCAGTCCCTCCAGGATAGTTCTGTTGGCGTTCTCGACCTGCCCGTTGCCTTGAGGATAGGCAACGAAGGAGAAACGATGCTTGATTCCCCACTCCTGGAGGAGCTCTTGAAAGGGTGCGGCCTCGAACTGGGTACCGTTGTCGGATATGATCTCGTGAGGGACGCCGAAGCGGGTGAGGATGTTTTTGTGGACGAATTTTCTGACACCTGGGCCCAGTGATGCTGGCCAACGGTTCCGCCTCAACCCATTTGGTGAAGTAGTCTACGGCGACGATGATGTATCGGTTGTTTCCAGCGGCTCTGGGCAGGGGGCCGACCAGGTCAATGCCCCACCTTGAGAATGGGATCGCTGTGCTGACCGGGGCGTAGTTGACGGCTGGCCGACCAGGGGCTTTTTGAAGGACCTGGCATGCGGTACACTTTCTTGCCAGATTGGCACAATCCCGTGCCATCGTCGGCCAGAAATAGCCCTGGACGACGAGAAGTCGGGACATGATGAAAGGGCCCTGGTGAGAGGAGCAGACGCCAGAGTGGACTTCCTCCATGGCCACTTCGGCCTCATATGGGTGCAGACATCGGAGGAGAGTGCTGTTGTAAGATCTTTTATAAAGTTTCCCATCCTCGATGGTGTAGCTCGGGGCCCTGAGTTTGGCTAGCTTGGCTCTCTCCTCGTCCTGGGGCAATTCTCCCGAGGTGATGAAAGTCATGATGTCGGTGATCCAGTCTTCCGGTCGTTGTTGGATGCACGTGACCAGGCTGGCATGGATGCTAGACATGCTCAGCTCTTCGACCTTGGCTATCTTGGAGACGTGCTCTGGAGTGTCTGAGCTGAGCTTGGAGAGGATGTCGGCCTCAGCATTCTCCGCCCTTGGGATCTTGGTGATCTCATGGGTTTCGAATGCCTTGAGCAACTCCTCGGCCGCCTGCTTGTATTGCCTCATCCTCCCCTCTTTAGCCTCGTATGAGCCTTCGATCTGGCCCACCACTAGCTTGGAGTCGCATCTGATTTTGATGTGCCGTGCTTTGAGGCCGGCGGCAAGTCTGAGGCCGCTGAGGAGAGCCTCATACTCGGCTTCATTGTTGGATACTCTGAAGTTGAAGCGGATGGCATAGTAGGCTCTGAACCCTTCAGGGGAAATGAGGACGCCGCCGCCACCACAAGCTTTGGTGGCCGACGAACTGTCAGTAAAGAGGGTCCATGCTTCATCTAGCTCTGGCCCTGGTGTGGTAACGGTCGTCTCACTTGCTGTGCATTCGGTGACGAAGTCGGCCAAGACCTGCCCCTTGATGGATGGCCTGGGCTTAATCTCTATCTGGAACTGGCTGAGGAAGATCGCCCATTTCACTATCCGTGAGGAACTGGTGGGGCTCCGCATGAGTGCGCCGAGGGGTTGCTGAGTTAAGACGTGGACGACGTGGGCCTGGAAGTAGTGCCCTAGTTTCTTCACTGTATGGATGATGGCCAGTACCGTCTTCTCAATGGGAGAGTACCTGAGCTCGGCCTCCCGCAACGTCTTGCTTGTGTAGAAGATTGCCTTCTGTACCCCCTCGTCCTCGCGGATGAGCACGGAGCTGACGGCCGAAGTGCTCACCCCCAGGTATAGGAAGAGGGTTTCACCGACTTTAGGTTTGGAAAGCACTGGCGGGGACGATAGGTACCGCTTCAGCTCCTCAAACGCTTGCTGGCACTCCGTCGTCCATCTGAAGTCATTTGCCTTGCGCATGATCTGAAAGAAAGGGAGAGACCTTTCAGCCGATTTTGAGAGGAAACGGTTCAGGGCCGCAAGGCGTCCCGTCAGACGTTGTACCTCCTTCACATTTCGCGGTGGCTCCATGTTGACAATAGCTTGTATCTTCTCTGGATTGATCTCAATGCCCCTTCGGCTGACCATGTAACCGAGGAACTTACCCCCATGGACGCCGAAGGTGCACTTCTTCGGATTTAGGCGGAGCTGGAACTTCTTCATTATCTCAAAAATTTCCCGGAGGTCGTCGGCGTGGCTAACGGATTGCCTGCTCTTGACGATCATGTCATCGACATATGCCTCCATCGTCCGACCGAGGACTGCTCTGAAGACCTTGGCTACCATCCTGGTGTATGTGGCGCCTGAGTTCTTGAGCCCAAAGGCCATGACGAGGTAGCAGAAAATTCCCTCCGGGGTCATGAAGGTCATCTTCTCGGCGTCATCTTCATGCATGAATATCTGGTGGTACCCCCTGAAGGCGTCAAGGAATGACATCAACTTGCATCCGCCGTCTCATCCACCAGTTGA